TGACAATCTGGAACCCAGTGACATTGGCACCTCCGTGCATTACTCTCTCCAGAACGATGTCTGTGAAGCCCTGAGAGGACACATGTAGAAAACAAGAGTCATTGCCACCCAAAGTTCCTTTTCTTTTGACTCAGTTTTACCTGTTACAGGCATAGCACAAAAGAAATGGATTAATTGCCCTCTTGTTAGTTGAAAATATTCTAGCAAGGAGGCAATTACTATCATAACTGAGCTTGTGACAGCAGCACAGAATAGAATTTAAAATGACTTCTTGTTCAGAGCTTTGTGACAGAAAACCATCCTGTTGTGGAACGTGGTACATCACTGCCACTGGTCAGGGAAGAAAACACTGGGGGAATTTGAGGTAGTATTTCCTCTTTTCTCCTCCTCACAGTGAACACTGGTCAAAGACCTCTATCATCCCATTTGTACAGCAAAGCACGAGCAAAGATTCAGTGCTGGGAGCAGAAACCCACCTCACAACCATATTGTTCTGGGAGGCAGTGTGTGCACCTCCCTGCTCAGCAGCTCTCGGGCACAACACTACTTAACATTTCACTTGCAAACAGAACAGTAGGATCCTCTCCCACTCTGTTGTTATTTATACCTGAGGCAGTTAATTGGTGTCTTTTTGATTAGCGTGACTTGATTGCAGTCATGTTTATCTGAATGCCAATGGTTACACATGCTGAAAGGTAACCCAGAATAAGAACCCCTGTATTTCAATGCACGTGCTAATCAGTGAGATCATGACTGGTTCTTATAATGCAAAATGACACATCTTAAAGTCACACAGTGCTTATACTATATTAGGTTATTTTTAAATTTGTCTTTTCTGCCTGAATCACATCAAAACATGGATATAGAGAATCTCCTACTAAGTGGGATTGCCAACTTGAAAGTGGGAGTCTTGGAAAAACATTTTTCCACTCGCAGTAGACACAACCCAAAAGTCAGTCTTGCTGCAGGACCAATTATAACACTTTTTCTAAGGAACTCTAGCAGATGGCATTTCAAAGGCAGCATAATGTCCCTGAGAGTTAATTTTAAAATCCAGAAAAAGCTCTGATGTACATAAAAATGTACAGTTTGTCCTGATAGGTCAACACATACACAAGCACCAACCTACACTCTGAAACACAAAAGAACAGCTAAGCAGCCTGACTGGTTTACTTGATGGAATTGTTTTAATCTGTAGCTTTCTACCACTTATTTTATGCAAAAATATGCTGCAATTGTTTTTCCTGGAATACTCAAATTTCAAATGTTACATAAAAGATTTTGGTTATCAAGTGTGTTATTTATAAGGATACAAATTAGAGGTAAACATACAATTAAACTATTATTTTAAAATTAGTAGAGCATATGAGGTTCTTCAGACAAAAACCAGACCATAATTGAGTACAAATGTCTATAACACACCAGTTCTAGTATTTACTGAAGTAATTTCTCAAAATCCAAGAACCATACACACATTTCCTCTTTTGCTGATTGAAGTTGCCACAACCTGAGCAGCATGTATCACCCTCTAAACCTCAGCTATGCTTGTAATGAAGAAAAGCTCTTACCAGGTTAGCTAACATGTAGTGATAGCCTCTAGAATGTTTGCCCAGGGTTACAACCTGTGTGAAGAAAAAGTTTACATATTATTCAGTTGCAGGAGGATGACCTTTAACTAGCAGAAAACACCAGAGAGTGAACATTTTGGTAATGCTCTACACCCAATCCATGGGCAGCATGAGTATGACAGACCTGTGGCTTTACAGGCATGACGTAGTCTACAAAGGAGAGCACAACGAAGAGTAACTCAGAAGGCTGAGAAGACTCCACTTGTGGAGATGACCTCACCTGCCACCTCATCCTTACGATCTCCGTGTGTCCCCCGCTGACCCAGTAGATTTTAGCTGTCAGTTCAAGTATTTCTGCTCTGAAATGAGGTATCACTGTATCTACCCACTCAGTAAACTCCTGTTTCCTTTGTTCCTTGTTTGTGGAGTGTCTGAGAGGTGGATGACACCGCCTGGACACTCACTGGGTTTGTTAAGCTCTACCAGCACAGCAGGGCTTGGTAGGCTCTGGGTCATAGAGGGGTTTCCTGCCGTGAGAATCCTGGCCAAGCCTTGTCATATAGGAATGCTTAAAGTTAAATTCCTAAAGTCACAAGCAGTGACCTTCATTGTCTATTGACAGCTTTCAAAAGGCTTGAAAACTTGTCACTTCCAATGCATCCAAATAGACAAATCTGACCTTAGGTGTTTAGCCAAAACGTATCCTAAACATGATGTTGCCCACTGCACTAAGCCAACATCTCCCACCCTCCCCAGCCCCACTTGGGCATCCCTCTGTACAAACAGTCAGGAAATGGGATCGCTGAGAGACAAGAAAGCAGCAGGATGATCTGAGCACCTGGTTCTGTACAGGTGACCTGGAGGAGCAGGGTCAGCACCATTTGGGAAGCCTGAATTGGGCCACGCTGTGTGCTCGTCCCCACTCAGGTAACATTCTGCTTTTGCAGGAAGGAGGAAGCAAGGAGGAAACCCACAGCTCCACGTCTCTGCAGTGCCTCTCAGCAATGCCCTTTGTGCACGACTGTGCCACTGCACTTAGCACTGCTCTCCTGCCTTAGAATATAAACTCAGCAACATCCACCCAGTCCCACAGGCACCAGGTGGAACAATGTGCAAAAGTGAGAAGTTAACTAATAATTGTGGTGATTAAGTGTGTGTCAGGACAGAATCAAACTTACCTGGACTGGCTGGGTTAAATTAACAGATGTTACAAACAGCAAACATAGTGCTGGTGATACACCACAGATGTATCACCGACTACAGCCTATGAGCAGCTCAAGTGAACAGATGATGCTTTCTGATGCAGAATCATCTGAAAACCTACACATACCATCACACTTCTTTATGGCCACAGATAAATGCTCCAAATACCACACTGTAAAACATCTTTTCAACACGACCACTTAGGCCTTTGCTAACAACAGATGACATCTGAGTCACTGACTTTAGATAGACTGCTGAGCCTGTGAAAAGTTCTTGACTAAATTATTAAGTTCACAATTCCCTCTTTGGGTTGTCTTGTCCTTAATAGATGCCATTGCTTTTAAATTCACTTTTAATTCTGTAGGAATTTGCATACTTCCAACAGCCTGAAAATCAATTGCTGTTCAGGTCCTCTTGAGAACTGTATGTACACTCGGTTGGTAGAAAGCATCTGCTTCCCTACACCCACACTTTTTTTCTTTC